AAAGAAGTTGAGAATACAAAAAAAATGTCATTTTTCAATGAAATAATGTAACTTGACGAATTCACGCCTGATCAAATGATCATTGTTGGTGAGTATATGTTGAAAGAAAATCACAAAGTTGAGTTTTTCTTTGCTCTGCTACATGTATTTAGAAGTAATTACATTAGGAAATAGCTAAACCAATATAATGCATATCACCCATCATTTAACTTTTCTCCTATTGGACACACATAGACCGCAATACATTTTGTATACAAATTCATATTTTAAACATATTTATTTAATTAAGGTAGGAAGGGGAATGTTGTAGATATGCAAATTGTGTGGCATGTTATACATTCATTTATTTATAATGGATATCATACTTGTGTGATTAAAATAAATATTTGTATTGAATAATTTCATATTTCTATTAGAGAACAAAAATCAGAATTATGTGAATGACAACACAATTTAGATTTATAAATTTCATATCTGTATTGATAGAAGAATGTTTGGTGGTCAACGTATGTGTCGCGAAATGATTTAAATTTAAATTCAAAATTAGGATGAACAAATTGCCCCAAAGTGATCGCATTCCCTTTGTATAATGTGATATAAGACAAATATAAACCAATAAAAATAAACCAATAAACCAATAAAAATTTTTAAAAAATCTAATTATAGTGCTTGTACAAAAAAATTTGGAATGTTTTTATATATTTATAGCCAATTTGGTTGTCCAACACTAAGGTTTAGCAAATGTCGATACATAATCAGACAATTCTTCGTGGACTTCATCAATTTCTTCTTGCGTGAAGCTTCTTTTGTTCGCCCACTATAAACAAAAATAAGAAGTCAATGTTATTCAACTTGCACAAAATTATGGAAGTTTAATGGAAAGATATTACTATTATATGGTCTTAATACTAACCTTGAATGATGTACTCATAATATCTTATAAAACAATCTCCCTCATAAAACGGAGACATAATATCCATATTCAATAACTCCTAGTTGACAAGGAACTTGAAAATAAAATTAAGTAGATTGGTAAACATTTATCTAAACAAACTCAGTATAAAAGTATATATTTACATCTACTGACAATGATACCCAATTGAACTTTCTATTGTTATGAATTGCAACCATTCCCCTAAATTGAACACAAAAACAATAATAAACAAAAAAAATAATAGTAATTACACAAAAACACAATCTAATCTAATTATCACTTATTAATAAAATGTAATACTTCTTTATTAAATTTCCAATATCGATTATAGGCATCGTCATTGGTTGAGTGGAGTTAAATAAGTAAGGAGTCCACGTATTAGTATCAATTACAATAAGCTACCAATAAATCTTGCAACTAATAGGCATGGTATAAAAATAATGGGCATGATATTAGATGTCATAAATGATACAATTATTACTATGAATAGAACTTAAGTAGAATTATAAAGCACCAAAAAATAATTGGATGCTTTTTGCATGCATTGACTTACATAACGAGAATGATTAGCGATAATGCTATTGATATGACTTATCAAATTTGGATCAACAAATTTGAATTTATCGGTCAATTGTCTATCATTTATCTGTCTATATAGGAGGTTCTGTGATGACAATCAACAATATAATTTAGTAATACTACCTAATATAGAATAATTGATATTGACAGAATCTATTTAAATTAATTGATAAGTTAACCCCATATACGCAACAATATCAAAAGCCAATATCTCATCTATGGTACAAAATGCCTTAATCTTTGCCCCCTAATATAAGACATCAATAGAAGATCAAATAATCCACAATCTTCTTCAATGACAATGGCATTTTCTCTTGATAAATGATCAAGCACATAATTAGATAATGCATTCGTGACATACTTTACAGGGGTCATTGTTTGAGTCTGAACATCTTGTTACAAAAATGTATGAAATATAAATCATAAAACAAATTCAAAAAAATAAAAAATACAAATAAATATTCAATCAATAAATAAAATTAAAAAAAATGATGATTACCAAAGTTTGGGTTTGCTGTAAGACTTGATTTACGAATTCATTTCCTTGTTGGATGTTGGTAACATATTGCCCTTGAGGCATGTTAAGTTGTGTTGCTGCCAACATTGCTTTCAAAGTTGCGAGCCATTGCTATTGATCATTCAGGTGTTGCTTTTGCTCATCAAGTCTTTTTTGTTGTTATTGAATGATTGCTTCATATGTTGCATTTTTCATTAGGGGGTTTGGGTTGATGCTTAAAGAACTATAATGGCGACACAAATCTACCAACCTTTTGAACTCGACTATGTCTGTCTTTGGATCCTAAAGCTAAAGATAATATCTTCCCCATAATCAATTTGTAGGTCACTAGATTAATATCTTGTAGCAAATTCATCCTAAAATACAAAATGATGGTGTGTAAATAACCAAATACAATATATAGTCATGCATAAAAGCACATTTATCATACATGATAAAATAACGAAATAAACTTACAATCTTTTTAGCCATTTTTTAAGTTGTTTCATTGCAAATGATCCATCTTTGCATATATGTCATTTTTTCCACATATCCTATCTAAAACTTTTAGTTCTAAAGCTAGATGATTCTTGAAAAAAGAATCATTATAAGTTCCTCAATCATCATAAATATTCATATACGAGTATAAAACAAGCGATTGAATACTTATAAGATTATACTTGACATTTGCATAGCCCTTTTCTCAATGTCCGATGGTAATATAATTGTTGGACCCGAACGTTCTTTTGTTATTCTTTGATTTTTTGAAAAAAAAAATAAGATAAGTCACATATTAAGATATCGAATATATTAAACAAAATATTATAAACAATTAACAAATTGAGTATGTATATCGAGAATTCATCTGATAAATGATCTTAAACAAACTGCGACCACTCTTCATAACTGATAACATTTGCATATGTCATTGGAAGATCAACCAACAATTCAGAATTATAAGTGAACAGTAAAATGTATTGGGTGGTCAATTTCTCTTAACGTCTCTGAATACTTTCTCAAACAATTGTAACACAAACTTTTTATACTTGATTAGGACATCAAACAATTCCTAAAAAATTGAATACATTAAAATCAACATTTTAATTCAATTGACTTAACAATTAACAAAATTTTGGATATTGTTGAATAAACATAGTACAACCAAATCCCATATACCATTTGCCAATTAAGGTAGGTAATAGATATAATATGCTTGATGATAGCTCCAATGTGGTTGGCCAACTTTGCACATCCATTTAACATAGGTTGCCTATCTTGATTGAACGCGAGGTGAATTTTCATCCCATTCCCTTTAATTTGTTTACCACATCCTTTTGATTTTTTTTTTCATGATGGGTATGTCTTCTTCATGTTTAGCAAAAGGAGACATATGTTCTTTAGATGCCATAATACTTGTGATTTTTATCAAAATTATATGAAATACACCAAATTGTCTATCTATATATCCCACACAGTAAAAACAACTAGCATCCAATATAGTAAATAGACAAATATACATAAAACAGAATAAAAGCCAATAATAATATGCATGCTACAAGCCATACTATGTTTCATCATATCATAAGAGTTTCATGCAAAATAAATGAGGAAAAAATATAACAACTATTTTTCATAAAACCATTTGGTGAACTACAATACTCGAACCAAACAATAAAGAAAATACCATGTATGCAATGCATGGAGGGTGTGCGATGTGGGTGACGATGGTAAATGCTTATATAAATAAAAATAAAAATATATATATAGTAAGGAAGGAAAAAATTGAAAAAATAGATGAATAAACATTGTACAAAAATGATTAAATTTGCACATACCCAGTAAAAACAATGTGCGACGACATTGAGTGGTTCACGGTCAATGGTAACGAGGGAGATGAAGAAACCAAAATGCCAATTGAGGATTGATGGGTTTAGGGAAATACATGCATTGTAGCTTTTATCATTAAACTATATTAGCCTTTTGGTTTTCCAAGGTTAAAAAATGGGGAATGAATCTTTTAAAATGATCAATTAAGGTGTTTGTGTTACAAATGCCTTAATTGACCAATTTTAAAATTTATAATTATGATCAATTAAAGGTGTTTGTGTACAGAAACACCTTAATTGATCTAAAATATAATTTTTAAATTACATCAATTAAGGTGTTTTTGTATACAAATACTTTAATTGATCAGTTTTATAATTTAAAATTTAGAACAATTAAGGTGTATTTGTACAGAAGTGCCTTAATTGATCTAAATTATAATTTTAAAATAGATCAATTAAGGCGATTCTGTATACAAACACCTTAATTGATCAGTTTTATAATTTTAAAACATCATCAATTAAGGCTTTTGTGTATAAAAATGCCTTAATTGATTTAAAAATAAGTTTCTTTTATATTTAATAGACAAATATCATAACAAATTGATTATTTTCAAAACCATCAATTATAATTATTAAAAAGGATCGATTAAGGTGTTTGGTTACACAAACGTCTTAATTGATCTGTTTTATAATTTTAAAATATAACATTTAAGGCAATTTGAGTACCAAACATCTTAATTAATCTTTTTTCTAAATAAAATTCACGCTATCAATTAAGGTGTTTATGTTTACAAACACTATACTTGATGATATTTTATAAATTAAAACAACAATCAATTAAAATATTTATTTTTTTAGTACTAAATACATCATCTATCATTTGGGTATTTATTGTTAATAAAATAAAAAATTTTCATCATATATGTTAAGAAGATTATAATAATTATACAAAAATTAATATCTCAAATATTAAATGAATGAATCTAAATACAAAATGCTCTGAAAAAAAAAAAAAAGAATATCTCAAATATTTTATTTTTTCGGGTACCAAACTTTCTCTTTGAATATAAGATTCTGCTAACTAAATATCGTTCTTTTTGTTTTTTTTTTTCGAAACTTGGATTTTAGAAGGTTTTGGTGCAAAGAAAACTTGGAACCGGGAACAGTCAAACTAGGACTGTAGCTTTGTTTGAGAAGCGAACCGGGTTCGAGGACATGCACCTATGAAAAACAAACATCCAAATTCCAAAACCCAAAATAAACAAACCTTGCAGGGACAAAAGTAAAATAATACCAAACACTGACCATTTTAACCGAACAAAGTCCGTGAGCCTTGGTGGCCGGTGGGCCTTACAAAGTAAATGTACATCAGGTGATATGAGATGATTAGAAATGCTTAGACCTGGCAAAATGACAACAACAGAGCATTTTTTTTCCCTGCTCTTCTACTCACGTTCTAGCTATAGCTAAATCAAAGCGTAGTAACTCTTTTAACTAAATTCTTAACAAGATACCAGGTGATTAGATTGCATTTATGGCAATCTTCATTCCAGATTCACAGTGACCAGCAGTGTTGCATATGAAGAAGTTTAGTCCCTTGGCCAGTTTTACCTGATCTTTCCCTGAGTTGTACACTTTTGCACCGGCCGGTGTGGTGCAACTGGTGTAGCCTCCTCGGTTCACAGCTACCACATTGTGGATCGTTGCGTCGTAGTTGAACACTGCAAAATCAAAGTACAAGTTTGCAAAGATGTAACTTGAAAAACTGAGCATGAAAAAAATGTCTTCATTCTTTTAGGTTAGATGATATATACTTACCAAGCACATCACCAGCCCTGAAGCGCTTCCCTTTAGACCAATTAGCCATGTTAAAAGTCCAACCACTGCTGCCTCCAACAGTATAAGTTGCCGCATCAACATTTTCCAAGCAAACCAGTAAGCATAGCAGGAATATTGCAGCTGCGAACTTGGCTTGCCTTACACTGCCCCTTCCCTGCGCCATATCTGAGAAAAGCTTGAACTGTACCTGAAGAAACTGGAGGTTTAAGAGTGAAACCTGTTTCAGTGAGTGGGGTGGGCAACGCACAAGTTTTATGCCTTTATAAGCAGTTCCAAAGGATAGTAGTGGGTCCAAGTTTTGGAAAAAGTGGGGACTAGGCGAATGACAAAAGGGTGAGCTTTCAAGATTTTCATTGATTAAAGTAGAAGCCAACAACCGCATTAACAACTAGTCTCCAACTTTTGCCTTTGATGATAAAGATTTGCAATACTTAAAGGTGAATGATGACATTAACAGCATAGATTATTTAGGAAAAAAGTTTGGTTAATACTATCTATGGTGTCAGTGATGGCTCTATCTAAAAAGTGCTTGACTATGGAACTCACATGGAAGAGTAGTAGCAGGCACTACCCGTGAACTGAGATATAGGAGTTATTGGACCATATTGGGTAAGGCTAATTGAAAAAGAGTAGTTCCGGAGCCAATAATTGAAGGATGAAAACATCCCCTTTGTGTTGTCTATCCTGAGAAGTAAATTTAAGAAATTAATCTAGTAAACAATTCCTTATAATTATAGAACTAATTAGTGCTAACAAGAAGGTGGTTTCGTTTTATTGCAAGAAGGGAGAGGAGGAAAAGAAAGTCTGCTGTCTTAACAGCTGACTTATAACCTTACATGATAACTACACAAGAAAACTAATTGCCAAAAGAAAACCAGGCAAAGATTTTATACCCAAGATTAGGAAAGCAAACTTCGAAGATGTCCATTCACAAGGCAAAGGAACAATCAAATACAAGATTTTCAGGGACCTAAACATAATTTTTTTCACCTAACATTATATTTGGTAGGAAAAAACGGAAAAAGGAGGGAAGACAAATATTTTAGAAAATTATAAGGAAAGGAAGAAAAGTTATATTTCTTTTGTTATATTAGGTAGGAAGGATGAAGAATAGAGAGAAAAAATGAGATTAGATGAACACTGTTTTTCTTCAACATTTAGGAGGATTGGATTTGGAGAAAAGAAGTGTACGAATCAACTAATTTTTGTTTTCCTTTCTTATTTTCCTTTTGTCACAGGACGGGAAAGTCGGGAAAAATAGTTTTTTCTTCCACCTTTTCTTCCTTCCTTCCTTCCTCTTTCCCTCTTTCCAAACGGAGTATACTGTAAATATTGTTTTCATTCTGTCCACCTTGCGTTTTTAGCTAGTTTGAACATTTCTCTCATGCTAATTGAAATCGTGCTGTATATCAGCTATTGCCTGTAAGCCATTTTAACAGAGAGCAAATAGTTATGAAACAAATCGTAAGGTACCTACTTGAAGATGACATTCTTAATAATATGAGCAAGATTGCTGTCTCTAAACAGATAGCTTATAATTGAACAATTAATACAGAAACAGTCATGGAGATCATAGTCGAGAGGCTGGATAGTTCGGATTCTAAATGAAGCACATGGATTTTCTATCAGTTCTTTGGAGACTGTTGAATTTAAGTTTTGAAAACTCACATGATACTTTTTCTTGGTAAAAACGAATTCCTAGATAATTTCTCCCCAGTCCCCACACTATCATGATTTTTCCCCTACAGCACTCCTCATATCTGAGTAACATGCTTCAAGTTCAAACGAAGATTCCAACTTGACCAGTTGATTAAATTCTTCAAAAGTAGCCATCTTGTGAAGGTGATCTCTATTGGTTCTATTTTCCTTCAGGGTTCTTAAGAACATTAGCCAATGCACGAGTTGATGCATAGAGGGCAGTGAGTGGATGCATCAAATGAAAGCCCTTTGCATTCAGCTCCTCAGGTGGGTGCAAGTGTCACGCCAAGCACTCCAAAAATGAGTAGGTAGGGTACTCCAATTCCACATTGGACATGAAAGGGGGGTCACTAGGGTATAAAAGGGTTCACACATTTCCCTCATTGTGAGGCATCTTTTGTGAGATAAAATCATGAGGCCAGAAGAGTTAGAGTGGACAATACCTCACAAAAGTGTGAATCGTGACGATAGGCTGATTTAGGATGCTAGATGAATGCATGCCCGGGTCTTGAAGTCGTGCGGGCCTAGAGGTTGAGTTTCAACCCATGATAACTGGTATCAAAGCAGGCCTTGGATCGTTCGACTCATGCCAAATGCCTCGAGGGGGATAGGCAGGGTGACTAGCTTTCGTAATGAAGGTGTCATGAGGTTGGGTGGGGGAGAATGTCACACCAAGTGCTCCAAGGAGGAGTAGGTAAGGTACTCCAATCCCAAATCAAACATGAAAGGGGAGTCATTAGGGTATAAAAGGGTTCACACATTCCCTTCCTTGTGAGGCACCTTTTGTGGGATAAAATCGTGAAGCCAGAAGGGCTAGAGCGAACAATACCTCACAAGGATATGAATCATGATAGATAGGCTGATCTGGGATGCTAGATGAGTGCATGTCCGGGTCTTGGAGCCACATGAGCCTAGAGGTTGAGTCTCGGCCTGTGACAAGAGGATGTACCCCATTTTCAATCACATTACAAACTCTATACCTCTTTGTACAAGATTCAATCTCCTAAACCTCATCATTGTTCCTGTGAGATTATCAATAAAACATCTAAACCAATGGAAGTATAATCAAACAATTAATTAATCACATAAAAGATAATAATTTAATATGATTCGGTCCAACCACCCTATATTCACGGATAAGAAAAAAGATCAATTAGTTATAAAAAATTACATCAAAATAAATCAATAAGTATTCAACAATTAATATTTATAAGGCCTCTTAATCTTCTCTAATTTTTTGGAAATTCTCAACCCAAATAAATATATGTCCATGTGAACTATATCAATTTCCTCTAATCTGCCTGTGGACACCCTAATCTATCCGAGGATCTACATTTAATTTTTGCTAATAAAATAATAAAAAATAAGAAAAATAAAAAAATAAAATCTAGCGGGTTGAGTTTGTGTGAAATTGTATGAAAAGTTTAAGTTAGATTAAAATTTGGAGTTAAAACTTAGAAGGGATTGAAACCCTTTCTAGTTTAAGGTTCTTTGAATTTAAACCCTATAAATATATGTCCACACAACTCTAACAGAGAGCAAACAGAAACACAAGTAGAAAGCAAAAAAAAAAAAAAAATCCAGAGTTTTTTTGGGTTTAAAAAATTTTTTTGGGAATTTTTCTAGAAAATTCTAGATTTTGACAAAATTTTTCAGCATCGGTTGAATTTTTTGACGAGTTTTCTGGCATTGATTCAATTTTCTAGTAAGTTTCCCAAAATCTGGTTGAAGATTTTGACATTGGTTGAATTTTTTTATGAACTTTCGACGATTTAACCCAAATTTTGGTGACTTTTTTTAGAATTCGATGAAGATTCAACCGGAGTTCTTCAGTTTCTAAAAAAAAAAAAGGAGAGAAAAAAAAAGGATGAGAGAGAGGGCGAAAAGGAGATTTGAAGCAAAAAGAAGGATTTTAGCCTTTTATAGAGTCACCAAAACGATGCCCTTTTGGCATTTAAGAAAACTCAGGATCCATGCGTTTTTCATTTGGGAGACCCGGCCCGTAGCGCGACTCGCTTTTGACCATCATTTGACTCGCATACCAACCGATCCCTTGAGCCGAATTGAGCCACCAAGCCGCGTCCCCTGAGCCATTTTTTATGCCTGTAGCCTGAGCAGCGCCGAATCCCCTGAGTCAAGCTATTTCGTTTTTTTGGTATTTTTTATTTTTTCATTTATTTTATTTTTTATTTATGTGTTTGTTTACTTTTAAGGGTATTTTGCATGATTAAGTTTAGGAAAAATATAAAATAAATTTTGAGAATAAATATTAATTATCAAAGGATGAAATTTATAAAAATTTCTAATAGTAAATTTCTATAAAATTCTTAAATGAGAAATTTTGTCTAAATTTATCCCAAATGGTAGAATAATTTAGATAAAATTTTAATAACAATAATTAATATTTATTTTCAAACAAAAAAAAAGAGAAAAAAATAAAAAATAAAAAAATTTTGGTTGAAAATATTTAACAATTATCCAAAGATAAGATAATTAGAAATTTCAAATAGTAAATTCTTAAGAAATCTTTAGGTGAGAAATTTCTTTAAATTTGTCCCAAATGGTGAAAGAATTTAAATGAAATTTTAATAAAAAATAATTGTCATATTATTTTCTTTTTGAAAACAAATAAAAAAAAAGAAAAAAGAAAAAGAAATTCTAAATAAGCCCAAATGGTGGAAAATTTAGAAATCCAAAAAAATAAATAAATAAAAAGAATTTCTAAATAAGCTCAAATGGTGAAAAATTTAGAAATTTTAAAAAAGAAAGTATTTTTAATTTGGCCCAAATGATGGAATAATTAGATATATTTTTGACAAAAAAATAATAAATAAATCTTTTTTCGATGATGAAGCTTATTCAAGAAAATAAATAGGATCTTTGAATATTCTTGAGGTGAGGGAAGATTTTTGAGAATTCTACCAGATTGATAGAAGAATCTCAATAATTATTTTCAATATTTCAACATAAAAATTTGAAATCATTAGAATCAAAACTTTAAGATAAATTTAAAATAATATGGTACCATTCTTCGGATGGACATATAGGGTTACTATAACTTTTCCCACATGTAACTGAACTCCTAAACCCTGTTCTGGTTTGTAGATTCGAATCTATTCTTTGAGGGACACTTAGTTAAGCCTAGGAGCTCCTTAAGAGGATAGATTCCTTAGGTGACTAATCACACCTAGTTAAAAAAGATTGGTGGTGACTCCATCCATTTGTTAAGTCTAGTTATAGATTTTTGGATCTATATGTTATGACAGTTTGGTGACTCCACTGGGGATGCTATAAAGAGTTAGGCCATAATAATTTTAAGTTTATCCCATCCTTTGATCTAATGGTTTTAAATGGTATTATTTGTTTACTAACGTTTTTGTCTTTTTTTCTTTTATTTTTGGGGCATGAAACTTATATATTCCTTCACATAGACTATCACATGCATTTGCATTACATGAGCTCTATACCCGAGCTTTGACCCTCTTAGGAGAGAGTAAAGTACCTACGCTTTTGTGAAATGATAATCTCCTTAATAGCTAGCGAAATACTCTCACTTAAATTGAATCA